TCAGTGGCATATATTCCAGTACTTGAGAAGTGTCACAGGAAAACTTTGTGGAACATAAAAAAAAGGAAAAGAAGACTGAGAAGGCTGAAAGGATCAATTTTAAAATGAATTTTAAAGATACTAAATTTAAAATTTTGACTAAGTTAAAGAAGAGGGGGAAATGGGAACAAATGATCAGACTGAGAAGTACCTTTGGTCTGTCAGGTGGTTAGCAGGAAACAGACTTCAAATAAATGGAACTCTTTAAACAAAGCCTGTCCTTGAAATGTGTACCTAAGAAACTTAGATTTGTTAGAGAGAAACAGCTGATAGTGATTTCTTCTGGGTTGAAATTGTGAACTCTTTTTTGCCTTGGCATTATGATGACAAGTCAGCTAAACTGAAACTTCTTGGAACAAATCTCTTTATGAATGCAAGTTCTTTAAATGGGATGCAGTATTATAAACGTTCTAATCCTTTGTGTCTGTGACCTGATGTTGTAGTCATAATTTGGAATATGGTAATATAGATATGGGTACCTACTCCATTTGTTTTTTAGAAAATCATCCTGCAGTCATATCTGTTAATACAAAATGGTGAAACAGAGTCTGATCCAGCTAAACTTTGTAGAAGAGAATTCTGGATAAGAAACCATAGATGTCTTGGAGCTGATTTTGGTGCTTCCTTAGTCCTCTCAAGGTCTTTCTAATCCACTGTTAAAGAAACCTGGAAATGCTATTTGGCATATAATTAGCCAAGTAATTGTTTTTTGCCCAACTTATATGATATTTCTGTTGATGGCAATCCTGGTAGTCATTTAAAAATAAGTAAGTCTTTGAAAATAGAGTTCCTAAATATCACTCTATCAGGAGGCAAATAGAAGCATTACATATTATTACTGGGACTTTAAAGGCGTCATGGGTCCTGGAATTTTGGTCACTGGCATGACAGCAAAATATTTCCAGAGTGTTGGCTGTCATCTTTCTCATTACACAGGCTAAGCCTGGGTTAAAAACAGCGATCTCTGACTACTTAAGCCAACTGCTTAGTGTTACAGGTTCAGCATAATGCTGGCAAATGCTTGTAGGGAACGTGACATCATTTTCCACCTGCTGAATGTTCTGAAATGTGTAGTTCCTTTCCTGGACAAGTGCCAAGGGAACTGACTTTGTTCTGTGTGTGCATATATAAGGTCACCACACTTGCTTGGAAAGAACATTATAGGAGTGATACTGTGTGGGGGAAAAAAAAACAGTTGATGCTTGCAATTGCAGAGACTAAAATAGTTGTACAAAGCAATCAAGTTCTAAATTTTCTCTCAGCTGAATAGAAATTGTTGCTATTGTGTTTGTGCTACTGGTCACTCACAAGGAGCTGAAATACAGGAGTAGTGAGAAATGCCATTTGCTAGTTACTTTCCGAGAAGAATTGTGTTGTATAATTAATTATGTTGTGGTAAAATAGTATGAGTTACATTAACTGAAAGTTTCAGATGTTTATCTAATTTTTGAGACATTTTAAATTTTTTTTGTAGTTATTTATATAGAGAGTGTACATTTGAAGGCATGTTGCCTTCAAGTATACAATGTACAGATCTGACACAAATAGCACTAAATGGCTGTACTGAATTGTCACACCATGTATGTGTCACTGTGGTTTCCTTGAACACGTTATTGATTTTAAGACTTATCTTGAGTGTTCATTTGCATGAGACTTTTACTTTGCCTGTAAAATTAATTACTGACCTAATGACGAAAATAGAAATTTCTTTTATATATGGGAAAGTTTTTTATTTGTCCTACCTTGAAAGTCAAGGGTCATTTATTTTACAGAAGTTAATATTTTGAGGACAATTTAGTAGATTTTTTTTTTCCTTTTCTGTATCTTGTTGTATCAATGCAACATTATTATAAAATTTTTTCATTGCAGGACCTTTGTAGTTACACAGCTGGCTATTACAAATAACAACTGGCAGCTGATGGAGTAATCCGTAACTTTCAAGGGAGAGGAAGAAAGTGGCATAAACAATATATCCTACTACTCATGCAAATAGCTTGTTTGTTAGGTTAAAAAATTACAAAGATCCAGAACATTTGCATTTTATTAACTCCATTTTAAAGGAACGGTTTCTGTACCTGATGAGGTAGCTATAAGCCTATTGCCTCAACTCTTCTCCCCTGCACAGTACAGTTAAAACATTGAAGTGCCTTCAAAAAATGTCCTTATGCAGTTTAATGGAAAAACAATAACTGGACTCTCTTATGAAGGGAAAGACATAAAACAAGCTCTCATATGGTATGTTAGGGTAGAACTTGAAAAGTATTTTGCAAATGTTCACTCGGCCTCCAAAGCCCACGTGAACATGATGTGACTGGAGGGAACTGCTGCACAGTCTGTCCCCAAGGGCCTGGCCCTGAGCACCATCCCAGAGAGCTGTGGGGTGTGGGCTGGTGCTGTGGGGTGTGGGCTGGTGTGGCTTCGGGTTCAGTCTCAGACTGTTCTCTGAGCTGCGAGTTGCCTGTTTGGATACACAAAACTCACTGGGGCAGGGGGGAAGGGAAAGAAAGAAGAGCAAGTTATTGTCTCTTTTTTAGTTGTTAGCAAGCGCTCCTATCAAGTAGTTAGATAAACCCTTGTTACTGTAGGAATGCTTTCCTTTTACTGTTAGTTGTATCCATCTGGCTACACCACAAATAAAGTTTTGGCCCCATTTGGAAGTTGACTTGTGTCTGGACACCAACTATATGAAAAATGTGTGTGGAAAGTGAAATTTAAATGAAGAAAATATATATTTTATGTAAGTATATGCATAAACATGTATCAAAGATCATTTTTATTGAACGGACTTTTAGAAGCTGCATAGGAAAAAAATGAAGATAGTGGAAACAATTAACAAAGTTAACTTTTGAATGAACCTTAATTTTTGCCATATACTTGGATTATGTAGGAATTCCAGTTGTTGATTTTGAATCAATGTTTTTAGCATTGATTTGAGTGTAGTGGACAAAAATTTTAAACTATGAATAATTTAGTTTCTGTTGCCATTGGAGAATTAAAGTGCCTGTGCTGGATTCTGTGGACAAGTCAGTACACAATAATGAAAGGAAGTTAAATAATAAATAAAACATAAGTTGCACTTCAGTTACAAAATTCTTATCTCTATGATGAGAATAGGATCTTCAGGCTACATTTAAAACTAGACCAGAAAAGGCTTTTTTATCTCAGTAAGAAAATATGTTTATTTCTGCCAGTTGTTATCATTCGACACCATGGACTTTAGAGTGTTTTATCTTTTATTAAGAGAATATAATACAGGAATAAATTGGGGGAGATTAAAGAAAACTGCCCCTGAATACTGATTTCCTCTTTGACCCATTGGATATGGTAACAAAAGGCCCCAGATTAGAAGGTGCTTAAATTTCAGAGTTGCAAATGACACTGATCATAATTACTTTTTGTCCGTCCCAGTATAGTTTAATTTAAAAAGCTTAATTCCTAAGATGTATTTAAATACTTCTGCATCTTGTTTGTAAGTTAGATGCTTCCAGTTCAAGCTTGTCTGTCAAATATTAATGTGTTCTAATGGAAAATGTTCACTCTAGAGACAGTCTTTTGCTTTTAACAGTTTGGGGTTTTTTAATGTTGAGATTTTTCAATGATGCTCAAACTAAAGTTATTAGAAACAAGTGGGGTTTTTTTCACTGAAACTGTGAACGTAACTGCTAAGTTGAGGCTGTCGTATTTTCTAATTTCTGAGCATGTGTTAAAACAGTGTCAGTTGTAACCACTTAATTATAACAAAGTTTATAATTTTTTTAAGCTCCCTGGTGTTGCATCTTTAACTTACAGCTACACTCACATGCTTCAGATCAGCCCTCTGTCTGATAGTAACTCTGGCCTGAGGGATGCACCATTCTTTAAGGTCTGTGGAAATCCTGCTGTGATTTAAGATACGTTACCAACAAAATTGCTGTCTCTAGACAAACATACTCTATCCAGTGAGATACTGGAAGTGAGAGACTCTACCTCTAAGCAGGCAGTCAATGTATTGTGAAAAACATTCAAAATTACAGTGATGCTTTGACTTACTCTGTCAAAATGTCTGAGTGTCTTTGGGCAGGGATTCATGAAATGGATAAACACAGCAAGTGTTTGCGTTCACTCCATCAAGTGAAGCACTGCTCTAAGTGGTACATGGCAACACTACAGTTGTATGTACAGGCAGATGGTCTACGAGCTGCAGTGCACATCTCTTTCAATGAGTTTTATTGCTGATGTGTAACACGTGTTGTATTGACTCTGTCTGGCCATTTGTCTTAAACAAAACAATTGCTTTATACCTTGTAGAAGCAATTGGAGACAATTTCCTTAGTGATTTCAACTCAAAATACAGAGCTGGGAAGAAGAGTATGTTAATGGTAAATCTGAAAAGCAGTTGATATATAGGTAATACTGTCCCAAATGTTTATAAAAAAATATGTAGAGGGAGAAAGCTGGAAGTCTTGTGGATTGATGGCCTTTTAACTTAAGCCTTCTAAGTATCAATTAATTATTCACAAAGATGGGCTGTCCTACTTTCATGACTTTGTTTTTTCAAATCTGGTATTGAGTCATAATAGCCATGCAAGTGTGAGTTTTGAATAGAAATTTGACAGATTTCCAAATTAATTTCCATTTTCTGTGACCCACATGATGGTACTATTCCCTGCTTTTGAATTACAGACTTAGATTTCAATAAGCTGCTCTGCTTTCAGAGCCATTTGATCACACACACAAAAAAGCGTGGGATTGCTAGTCAGTCCTTACCAAGTCCCAGAAACACACTTTGATGTTTAACTTTCCATTAAAATGTTTTTCATTTGTGTCTGAATATTGGCAGACTTTTAGTATAAAGAGTTTTTCTATTCAGACAGGATTCTATTTAATGCTTTATTGTAGTAGCTGTCAGGTAATGATCCCTGGCACTCCACAGAGTGTCTCCTGCACAGTTTGGTTTCATCATGTGTTTCTCCTGGCTCGGTCCTTGTCAGCAATGTGATGTGACTTTGTCATAGCAATGGAGCAAAAGTGCTTCAGAGTCGTGCTAATGGTGCATTGCTGGAATGGCTGATTGATCTCCCAGAATCTTTAACAGCTGTGGTGAATCACCTGAAATGATGGTGGAGGCTTGTAAGCACTTTTTGTTAAGTGTACACAGTACATGTTACCAGATCTTCGGCTGACATGCTTGCACCGAGTGAGAGCAATAGATGGCTCATAGCCATAGTCCGATTTGTAACTGTCCAAACAGAGCAAAAAATGCATTGGTCTTCCTTTCAGGTAGGGACCTGTTGCAAGAGTCTATTGATGGCACCTCGATCAGAGGCTTGTTGGCACCCTTGTAGCACATATGAAGTAATCTGTGCCTCTGTGTGTGTTTTTGTTGGGAAAGGGGAAAAAATTGCTGCCTATATTTGCTGCCAGATCCTCCTTCATTTCCATGTTCTGAAACAAGTGTTCAGGAGACTTCGTGATCCTTCATTAGTTCAACTCCATCATTCTGATAGAAGAGTAGTTACCAGTCATCCTGGTTATGATGATCTTAAAAATATACTTGTCAAATGTTTTTGTAAGGCAAGTAATTCACAGAAAGCTTGGGTCTTGAGTTGAAGCACTGAAACTATGTAAACATTTTGCGGTAGCCAGATGTCATTTAATAGCTTGATGATAATTGCTTGGTCTTCACATGAATCTCACTTTTGTGGTTTTTTTCTTGAACATATAACATATGTGGAATAGCCAGCAAATACAAATTTTATCAATCAGATATAGTTTGACATTTTTAACACTTTTTAATCTTTACAAATACCTGTTTACCATATGGTGTAAGTGGGTGTGCAGGAAACGACACTTTCATCAACTCTGATATACTACTTTTCCATGAGCTGAGCATGAACATTTCCTTTTAACGGGTGTGCTGAAGGCGAGCCTTTGAAGAATGAGTGTATGATTTTGGACTGTAACATTTATATTTGTGTAATTCTGTAGGTGGTTATTTTAAAATCACTTCATCTTTTAGCTTTTCTTATTTTTACTTTATTCACAAAAGTTTGTTCCAGATGAGTGTTGCAATATGTGAAAGAAGTAACAGAAAAGCAAAATTTATATTTTTCTTTTCATTGTTGCAGAACCGAGTTGTTGTTTTTATTGTGGTCCAGAGTATCCCATTTCCTGTTTACATTCTGTGTCTTTTGAAGATGCTGCAGAGTTTCAAGGGAATTCTATGATCTTTGAACTGAAATCCTGTGTATCATTAAATTGAATTAGTCGTGATAGTTTCTTCAGAGATAGGGTCATAGTAGCTTTCAGTGACTTGAAGATACTGATCCCAAATGCTGTTCTGGCTTGTTTGCATACAATTAAGGTTTAATTCAGTTAAACAGCCCCTCAATGCTCTGTTGTGCAGTATCTCAAATATACATTGGACCAGAGCACTTAGAGCATGTGACTTACCTCTGGATGCAAATAAGCAGCTTGTGCTTGCTCCTCTTGCAGACAAAAGCTTCTGCTTCTGCTCCAACATCCACTTAAAAGTAGAAAAGTACTCAACAATAACTGCTTTTCAAATTACAAGTTAGGCCAAAAGGACAGTTTTCCAAGATTAAAGTGTTTGCTCATATATTCATAAATGTTTAACACGTTGTCCCATAAAGATGCAACTTTTAACTAATTGCTAGAAACTTGCACATGCCTCTCTGAAATTACTTGTTGATTTAGTCTCTTGCTTATCAGATAATTAGTGACTTAATTAGTTTTTAAACAAAGCTCAGGTAAGGAAAAAATTGATCCACAGCTAAAATGTCTTTTTTTTAACTTCCCTTTCTCAATATTTAATGCCTGGTAATTTCTCTAACAATATCAATACCTTTTTCTTTCTTTCTTGGTGTGAGCTATAGTGGCTATTCCTTAAACAGTGTCTTAAACAGGGTTTGACGTTTAGGATATGTTTGTAATTCATGAAACTATGTGATACTACAAACTGCAGTACAAAAAAAAGTGTGAGCTTCATTGTATAAAGATTTTAGTTTCAGAGTATTACTTAAAGCTGCACAAATTTTCTCCTCTTTTTGAAAAATAATGTCCTTGTTAACGTCCTCTTAAACCCACAGCAGGAGTAAGAAAATTCAGATAAAAATACATGTGAATCTACATCATTGCCAAGGGAGTGGTTGACAATGCTGCAGCTGCCTGGCACCAGCACTCAGGAAGTCATGACTTTCTGCCACCAGTTCTTTTTCATATACAATCTACTTAATTCTAAGAAGGGTGAATTGAAGACTAGTAATAATGCATCTCTGGGTCTTTCTCTCACTATCCTTGTCTCCAAACTAACACTCTGAAATGGTTACTCTATCCTCCATCAGCACTTCCTCTGCTCCCCTGCTGACAAAGTGTCATAATGCAAAAACCAACCTCCAACCTGTGAGCAGGGGCTCTGTGCTACCAGCTCTGTTCTAACTGACCGACCTCTCAATTAAACTGCTTTAAGGTACAGAGCGTCAAAACTAAGAAATCAGATTGCTCTGATTACTCACTCAAATTGTTCCTTGGTTTGAGAATTTAATTGATGTCTCGTGTCCATGTGCATCAAGTAAAATAAGTAATAATCCAAAATGCCTCTATGGGAGGTGTTTGGAGAGATCTTAGCACAAAGCAAAATGGGTTTGCTACTCTTAAGTTGTGGTTTATGGCACACAGAGCAGGGGAAAATTGGCTGAGGAAGTGACCTTCTTGAAAGTCTATGAACTTTGACAGTGTGTGACTATAAATATTATTCTTGGTTGTTTTAAACAGAATTTTATGGTTCTTTTATATTTTACTCATGCAAAGAAGTATACAGCTTTTACTGTATGATTGTTTAGGAGATTTTTGGTAAAGAAGAAAATAATGACCGAGATCTTTCCTTTTTTATGTGTAATTGTATAATGTTTTGCACTTTGTTTGTTCTGAATGTTGTTTGTCTACATTAAATACAGCAGTATACACCAGTTTGAGGCATACAAACTACTCACTCATTTTTTTCTAATTAGGTTTTTTTTGTTTCACTACATCTTAATGAAAAATCATATTTTGGTGTGGATCACATTTTATATAACACATACAGTCTGTTATATTTTGTAATAAATCAAGTGTGACAGTATGCACTGCCTTTCTTCAATACAGTTGTTCGAACACACAAGCTTTGCTTTTTTACGTCAGACTCTAAAAAATTGCTTTTCCATATGAAATATGTTTGGTTTTTTTCCAGATTGCCACAAACTACTCCACTTTTCAAGAATACTCAGACAAGCCCAATGTACACACAGTTCCTGACCACGTTGCTGGAAGAACTGCATTTCAAAAATGAAGATTTGGAAAGTTTAACAAGAATATTTAGAATGGACTGACGACTTGAATGGTCAGTCAATTTTAAGCTACTTTGTGTGTCATAAAACCAAGGCAGTTAACACTGGTTTTTATTTTCAGCATTTTGTAAGTATGCACAGTAACTACAGATTGTATCAGCCCGAGTAGAAAATGTGTGAAGCACATTTTAAAGTAAAGAAATATATATGGTATGGAAATGAGTGTCATCATTTTGTCACTTACAGTAAATGCCAGCTGCTTACTTATCACATTAATCTTTTGATAATATATAGTGGTTTACTGCAATTTTGAGAGGAATTTTTACTACCACAATTTATTAAAAAAAAATAAATTCTGTGTGGCTACAACAGCCAAGGCTCAGCAGGGTTTGTTTAATTATTACAATTAAATTGTTATGTTCAGTCTTTGTGGTATAAAATGGAGTTGAGAGATATGTGTTTTTTTCTTAATGTTGAGACAATACTGCATTCTGGGTAGGCCGAAAAATTTAGAGCAAATACCTTATTTATGTTGATCATATTCAACTGATTCAATGAAAACAGAGTTATAATATTAATTACTGTATTAACATTACTGATCTCAATCCTTTGTTCCCCACAGAATAACGTGATCATTTTAACATCTCCTACCACCTGAAATAGTTGCACAGAGAATAAAAGAACACCTTCAATTGTTGGAACTTTTTTAAAATGAAAAATGTAGTTTAGTATGAATTGTACTACTTGCACTTCTGCTTTTTCATTTCCCTGCTACGGGTAAGAATTTTGAAGTCTTGTGGAAAAGCTGCCTATAACAGCAGTTGTTCAAAGTATTCACGAAGACAAGTTACCATGTGGATCATCTGAAAACTGTGTGTTTAAAAGCAATAGAAAGGAATTTGGATTTGTTTTTTTCTTAGTTTGGAAACTTTCAGCTTGTGTACAGGAATTAGGGAAAGGGGGGGGAGAGAATGGAGTGTTAAGAACAGTGCTGCTGACATTTTTCTGTTGCCCCAATGCATGGAGCAGTAACTTTAAGAATGACTGTGACAGTACACAAAGATGTCTGAGTTATAGCCTGTTTCTCTTGCTGCTTCTGAGAAAAGGGGTGGTCTTTGAACTTATGTAAAAGTTATTTTTAAACAGACTCTGTTAATAATTTGGACTTTAAAATATATTTTAATAACTAAAAATTTTTGGCTTTCAGTAGTCATTTCATTTCAAAGAGTTGTTTTGTTTAGACTGAATGTCTTTGGGCTTGCTTCTGGCACTAACGGATTATAAATTGCAATTTAAAACTAATCCACTAGTGATTCTTAATGATTCCATAATATGGTTTACTGCATACTTCTCAGTTCATAGGACACTGTCCTTTGAGAGACTTGAAAGTTGTAACTGACAGCGCTTAGTCTGCAGCAAATGCCAGCACTAGTTAAGGCTGAAGCAAGACTTACCAGGGCTGCTACGCAGCAATTGCATTTGAAAAAACAAAGTTTATTCCTTTGTTTTGTTTCTGTAATTGGACATCATAAGGGAACTCCCCACTTAATTAGTTTATTGATGTGTTGTTCCTTCATATGTTCAGAATAAACGGAAAGAAGACCATGCAGCTTTTCCCTGGAAGCTTAATTGTGCAGTAGACTTTATTTAGGAGATGCTTGACTTTTCCTAACTTACCTTGTAATGGGAAGTTATGTTCAGTATACATTGTAAAAGCAACAATTTAAAATGTGGATAATCTTTAATGCAGAGTTACAGCTACACATTTTTCTAAGTATGGAACAGGAAAAAATTGCCCATTGCGATCAGAGCGTCTGATATAAAATTCATAAGAGTTACTGGATAGAAGGTACATCGGTTTCGGGCCATGATGGAAAAAGTTTACTTAATATGTATGGAAAGAAGGGTCAAAACCTCACCAAAAGATAAACTTCTGTAGAAGACTGAGTAATACGTATGATATTCTGAGCAGAACTTAAACCTTGATTTTATATCTATTTGCTTCTGATTTTAAAAGTTAAATATATTTCTATTTTTAGCTAGTACTTCACTGTGGATGAGCAAGCCATTGTCCTGTTCCATGCACATTTACCTTGGGGCACAAAGATTACCTCACAACAGTTTTGTTATACTGAGTGTACCTAGAAGGCATTACAAATATATCAGGAATATGACTGTGTTTTATTACGTTCGATGGCTCACAGTTGGAAAGTTTATACACTTCCTGTCAGTTTAGTGGTGTGATTTTTTTTTTTTTTTTAGTTATTTTTAGGCTTGGTCTTCAGCACCTACTGTGTAGGAAATGTATGATCTTGTAATAAGAATGAATAGGTTGCAGGCTCAAAGACCCCTTTATCAGGGTTCAGTGTAGCTGCTTTTACTGTCTGCCTCAGCAGCTCAAAAAAGTAAGCTTTCAGAATTTTTGTCTCTCTCCTTCAGCTCCTGTGTCGTAAGTTTCCCCATTCTTTTCCTTACCTAAAGAGAACAGAATAACCTTTATCCTTCCATGAGGCCAGAAGAAAGACTTCTGTAGTATGCTGGAAATGCCGTGAAGAAATATTCTTCACTTACCTTTAATGATTTTATCTCCCTTAGACATGAGTAACATACATATAAATAAATGGAGACAGTATGCATATATACCCATTACTAGGGAGAAAGGCTGTAGACTTATCTGAAAAGGATCTTTCATACTGTCAGCCTTAACTGGTATGTAAAAATGACAACTCAAGTACCAAAAATTAAGTTAATTTATGTAATTTTCTTATGAGCATGTTTCGTAACAGCTTAACTGCATAGAAATGTTCAAATCCAGACATCATTTTTGAGTTTAAAGCTAATTTCTGTCACAACTATCTGTCCTTTAAGAGATGTCACTCTTTCTTAACTCAGTTAGTTTTGGTGTCGTTCCCCCACTTCTCATTCTGTTTCTGTTTGCAGGCAGATTGTTGCCTTGTGGCCTTGTTGCTGTGCTTACTGTCTTTCCTCCTCTGTGAGCTGAGCGGATGAGGGCAGCTGACACTCAGGTCACTGGTGGTTTCAGCCTTATCTCATACACGCTAAATTTTTGTGACCAACTTGTGTAGGGACATTATGGATCTGGGCCTTAGGGTAGATGGGGCATAAGCAGGGCAAATATAGTGTGATGTTTCTTTCAATAGGGGAAAACCAGACTTCTACAGTGATTTTTTTTTTCCTGATGTATGTAATGGATTAAGTAAAGAACAGAAGAACAGTTTAGTTTAAAGCTTGAAGCAGAGCCTGCTTCACGTTGTTGCAGCTTCTCCTCATCAAAGGAGGAATGTGTGGCACATACCCTGCCTAGCACAGGTATGGATTTCTTACCAAGTTTTCTGTAGTAATGAAGTAATCTCAGGAAGAGAACAACCACATATACAGAGAAAGTCACATTTTTTCAGTGTTGTTCAAAGCAGTCTTTATGCTGGCCAAAGAGGCTGGCAAAAAGGCATTTGTGTCTATTTTCACACCAAAGTTCAGTTCACAGTCCTGTAAATACCGTCAGTGTAAGCACTGCCCTCTGTAATACTGAATTTCCTACTGCAGAACCCTTCACTGCTGCTGTTTTGGTTCTTTGTGCCCATTGACCACGCTTGCTGATTTTTATTGGGTTTTGGAGAGCAGAGGATTCAGAGTGGTCGATTTGATAGTCACCATTTCAGGAAAGTAGGAAAGTCGTAAGGTAACTATGAGAGATTATGCTGCAACTGTCTAAAGCTGGCAAATGTTATGTTTATATATGGTAATACAAAATTCTACATTAAAACCAGAAGAGAGCTTGATTTATTTCAGTGAAGACTATCAAAATAAAAATGTGCCTTAGTAAATCTAGAGCAGCATAACTGACAGGGCTGTGCTGCTGTCTAAACCCAGGACTGGAAAGTTAGATCTACCCTGTCTTTTAAAGAGTGATGCAGGGAGCGACAAGGAACATGGTACATGTATGGGGCCTCAAAGGCTTTGTCCACACTACACATAGAAGAGTCACTTGTATTTTCACTCTTCAGTCTCAGTGAGTAGCTTAAAAGTGAGACATCTGTTGTGGTTTTAGGGAGAAATAACGGTTCTGTGAATCTTGATGTTCCATGTACTACCCTTCTCCCCCTAATTTGAGAGAACTTGGATTCTACAAAATGCAAGAGGGAATGAACAGCTCAGCCGGACATGAAGTCTGAACTGACCTTTTAACTGCTGGAGAAAAAAAGGACTAACACATCAGAGAGAAGAAAAAGGAAGAGAGAAGGGAAAGCGGTATTCACACCTTCTAAATTTAGGCATCCAACCTTAGGTACCTGCCTATCTTAGTTTACTTCAGAGAGAACCAATGCTCTTAAATTTAGGGTCTACAAATCTTACCTTAGTGCAGTGTATGAAGTGGGTGGTGGTAATGCTTCTGTCCCTGAATCCCTAGTGGGGAAAAGAAAGCAGAAAAGTCAGCTCATAATGTTGACCATAGTAGACTGGTTCTCCCTGGAATAATTTGTAATAGTTTATGAAACTTAGACCCTAAGTTTCTAAGCAATCTGATCCTATTGTTCACTTTGATGGCTACTATTTCTAAAAGGATTTTTCTTAACCCATAAGAGTTAAAACCAAAAGAATTAAATTGAGTGGCAGTGTTTAGGGGAAAAAATAATGCCCGTATGTTGAAATTACATCCAGGAGGTTACACTCAAGTTCTACAATTTGCCTCTAAGCTTTCCATACTTACTGTTTATTTTTGCAATTGCGTACGAACACACAGTGCTGTGGGTGGGGTTTAGATTGATCTGACTGGGGCAGCAGGTAATGCTGAACTGTCATTTCCAGTGAGCATTAAATATTGAAAACACAGAATCAGCTTCTCTTTTTGGCAAGTCCTAAGTTTCCATTAGCAGCAGATGGTATACAAGGCAGGGCTAGGCATCTACCTATAAAGACCTCTTGTTTCTCAGCTGCATATCTCTACCACCTGACAGCCAGTCGTGCTCTGATTAGAGTCAGAGGAAGTGGGTGTGCCTTCCATTAGCAAAGGCAGAAAGTAATATTGCTGAAGATTTTTCCTCTTGAGAGCTTTCTTTTTGTGACTATTCATCTTACAACCACTTCTCTGCACAGAATCTGGAATGCTTTGGGAGATGCCTGAAAGATGCTGCAGAACATGAACTGTGGCATTTGTGGTGCTAAACAGGATTTGGTGAGGTGGGGGGCAGGGAGGAGCTGGAAACCCATATCTTCAGGCAGCTCTCATTTGAGCACTCTAGTTTAAAAAAGCAAGTGAAAGCAGATCAGCCACTGAGGCAATGTAAGGACATGTATGATTAAATGTTAGTCATTCCCCCTTAGTTGCTTGCAGCTGTAGAGTAGAGCAAGGTGCAAGCTGGAATTCTAAAAAAAATATACTGACTTTGCTAGCAGAACTCAATGTGTAGACTAAAGTCCTAGACTTAGGAAGGCTAATCAATCAGAACAGTGCAGTGAGTGTGGCCCCTGTACACTGCAGATGTCCTCCTGTTTGTTGGCTTTACTGTGCTATCCTGCAGTTACCCCAAGACAAGAGCTCTGATGAGGCCCTCTCCAAGAACAGGCTAGAGCTAACACACAGGTGATCCCAAGGCAGTCTCCTCTTGCCACTCTGCAGAATCCCACCTTGGAAGGCCCCAGGATGATTTGGTAGCCTGTACTTTAAAGGCAGAGCCTTTGGTACATTTTTGCACGCTGTGATTACCTGTGGGAGCTGCTTGCAAAGATCAGAGCGCAGAGCCAGTGGGGCTACTGACTGCTACATCCTGCACCACTGCAAGCCAGATCAATGCCATCTCTCGTAATTTTGAGCCTCTTAAATTTCATGGTGTATGTAACTGCACTGAACACTTAGAGGGACAGCAGCAGCTTCCTGGGAGTCCTACAATTTGGTTAGAATTAGTCATCACTACAGAGAGCTTGAAGGACTTTGGATTCTGCTTTAATAAGCAGCAAACATTTAGATCAGGATTTACATCATAAATCTTGCTTTTTTGTTCTACTCAAACAGGAGTGTCTACAAATCAGGTTAATATAATTTAACAGTAGAGTAGTTAAGTAACAAAAAGGATCATAATTGGTAGTATTATCTAAGAAGCCAGAACAACCCTGCTTACAGCTGTCAACTAAGATCTGACTCATCTAAGGTATTTTATAGCAACCATATGTTAGGCACATCTATCTCACCTATTATGCAAAAAAATGATAACGTTTCCTAATCAGGATTTGCCACTGAGCAGGATTTTCCGTAAACATCTCAGTATTGCAAGTGCTATCCACAGTCAGGGGAAAACCTTTTGCAGACACTTCTGATTTGTTAATTTAATAAACAGAATAAATGGTTACAAATCTGTGGCTAGTACTGATTCAGCAAGGCTGGCTGTAGTTCAAGTTACAGGTGCGTTACTTTGGCAGTTGAAATGTTAAAATGTCACTTTAGCACAGAATTCCTGAAGGTGATTATTAGCTTTTTTGCATTTCTTATGCATGAACTCCTGGGTGTTTCAAATTGAAGACATGGTCTCAAAGCATGTGATACATAAGAAATACTTCACTGAGACCAATATTGGTATAGTATCTTTACCTGCATAGACAGAAGAGGGAGGGTGATTTCAGATCAGTATACGAGAGCAAGATTAAAAAATGTTTGAAAATATTACAGTCTTTTGATAACAATGCAGGTGGTTAAGCTAGAATAGTAATTGCACTTTAACAAAGGCATACACTATTGCAAACCCCACTGGCTGTTGATTTTTGGGCAAATTTTAGATCCAGTTCACTTTTACACAGAAACCTGCCTAAGCCTACACCCCTCTGCAGTCTGACTACTTCTTGCACAAAGATTGGTTATATGTCCATCAGCCTTAACTATTCCCAAGCGGTCTTAAGGAATAATATGGGGCATGAAGCTGCTGTCCCAACACTTCCCTCTGTTCTCAAAAGGGCAGTAGTTTTACTGCTTAGAAACTCTGATTGACTTAAAAGCTTTTTTGAATACATTCTTCTTTTTCTGAACTGTGGGCTGTCACTAAATTAAAAAGAAAAAACCAAGTAGATATTTTTGCTGCTTAAGATCCTTAGCTTGTTATAAAATTTCACAACTAGAAATGTAGTTAAAGTGTTTCCTTATTAAGATAATTTTTCCAGAGAGTTTTCGAAAATAAGTAATTTTATATTAGCCCTCTACAGCTCTGGGTCAAAAACATGTCATCTCTGCTAACTAGTCATTTCTAAGATCCTCCCAAGCTCTGCTCTTTTGTTCACTGAACATCTGATGCTTCTTGTTATTCTTCTGTAACCACAGCTGTGCCCTCTTCAAAAAACTCACAATCTCACAATGCTAAACTGACAAGTTGAGTGTCAAACCACACACCCCAAGCAGCCCTGAAGAAAAACAGAATCCCGCTTGAAGGAAAACAAAATAAATCACACAAACTGTTTCCAAAGAATGAATCTGAAACATTTCAAACTGTGCACAGGCATTGTTTCCTAAGAATGCAAATGCCATTTTTATGCTCACTTACTGTATAATCAGAGGCAGCTCTCAGAAGGGAGAGATAATTTTGAACAACTTTTTATTTCCTTGTTAAGGTGAGTTTTATCTCTTTGAGCTGAACTGGAGCCTTGCTGTGGGACCAAGATGGGTCTCCTTTTTGCCAAAAAGCAGCAGGGCTGTTGCTGTGCTGGCTGAGTTACACAGCAGGGTAAGTGAGGCCGCTTCCCCAGGAATGTGCAGGTTGTGTGCCACTGAGCCGCTGTGCACCGGAGCCCCGTGTGGTGCTGGCTGAGAGCAGCCGAGAGCTGGACAGGACTGAGCAGAGCTCCCTCTGCCTGAGCAGCCACCTCTCTGCTCTAGCGGGTCCCTGGTGACAGAAGGCTCTTAGGGCGGAGTGAAGAGATTTGTCAGGTGTCTGCAGCCAGGCTATAGCAGGACCCACAGCTCTTTCAGCTGAAGTGCCTCTCTGCAAGCCGTCCCTCCTCCCACTGCAAGGGCTGATGTGGGAAAAGATTACAATGCTGTAGTGCTAAGGTGCCAAATATGTATGATTTGGCTTGGCAATAGTTCTATAACTTACCTAAAAGGCCTTATGATACTATCATGCAAAGAATGACATGTAAAGGCAGTAGAAGGGGTCATTATCATGCTGAAAAAATACTGAAGACCAGCTAGCTGGTTTCCTAATTAAACTGTCAAGCACAGTTCACACTTTGTGCTGTCTCCTTCTCTCTATGGTTCAAAATTTGTCACAGCATTAAAAAACCCCAGTTAAAATATAAAAGCATAGCTACAAATGTGTATCTAGCTGCCTTGAAGGCTCCCTGTCAATATGTAACTGTAAGATAGTGCTGTTGTTTAGGCTTCACTGAAAAACTTCTTTTTTTTAATCTGATGATTCAAAGGCGAAACATTGACCTTCAGTTTTGGTACTTGACTGACGATCTTCTGTAAAGATCTGTGTAGGAGTAATGCTGAATTCTGGGTTACATCATTTATATCTCAAGAGTTTGAGTCAAAAGTTGGATTTCTCTTTTTCCTAGTTCATTTCTATCTGATGGCCTTGAATATAAGAGATGATGCCTGAAGCAAAGCTGATAAAGTCACCAATGCAAAGAAGCAGGGGGTGGGAGGGGGGTGGGAAGGGACACAGCAGCATAGATACATATCTTCACATCCTTATTTCCTTTACAAAGGGAGGAAGGAAGTTCCCTGCAGGTTAGCCAGAGAGTATCTGGTCTTACAGTCTAAGAGGTAGCAAAGTACTATTTCCAGGAGCTGCAGGCTTTCAAAAATATTGAATTCAGTATTTCACAGATGATACTCCATAAAGTGATTTCTATACGTAGGGCTCCTGAAAAACTTCTACTAAAAATTCACAACTGGGTGTACAGCCAGAGTTACAGACACTCACCCCACCATTTCATATCTCTACTCATTTCTGTCCAGTCTTCCAAATCCTTCTTGTTCTTCCCATCCCTGTGCCTGGCTATTCCTTTCCACTCTACCCCTTCCCTAACTCCAACAGCTAGCACTCATCTTCCTACCTGCTCCCTGTGTACCCTTGTAAAGATCCCACCCAACAGTCAGCTTCCACAGCAGAAGACCCCTGGGCTTCCCACCCCTCCCACTGGCTCCCTGCACCACAGGAAGGGTCAGCACTGCCCAGTGAGGGCCTTGAGTCTCCCACCCTCCCGTCCACATAGGGAGCTGCTGCAGGGAACCTGCTGCAGGGCTCATTTTTTCAGCACAGGATGGCAAACGGGCCATTTCTGCCCTTGCTCCTCAAAAGTGGCTCACACGTGTCCTTGGTTTGGTGCCCACGAACACAGGCAACCTCTCTACAGCTGGGATGGCACTGCCCCGGGGCCACGTGGATTGTGCAGGCAAAAGTACTCATATAAGGATTCTTAAAACAGCATCTTCAGGTTATTATGAAGGTTGTCTCTAAAACAGATATGACTCACCCAACAGCTACAGCAGTGATCCTGCGCAGAGATGAATAAGAATTTTTATGCAACTTCTTTAATCAGAAGAGGCCTGCTTGGTTGAAAATGAAACCTTTGCAGGAAAATGTTGGTTTTGATTAATTTCTCAACTTGAAAAAGTGTCCAAATTGTCAGTGTGTATCACTTCAGCATTTCTAAACACACAGAAAGGGGAAAAAAGGTAAAATTAAGAAAATTAAGTTTCAAGTCACTTTTCATTTTAAGATGGGTTAAATTTCATTATACGATCAACTGGAGTCCAAACATTTTAACACACGTTAAACCATGAGGTTTTTGTTTGCAAAAATTTACATTTTCACCTGTCTTCCCAAATTGTTTGTTGTAGATTACACTATGTAAATACTCAAATGTATTTTTCCTTAGTAGAAGTACAGTATTTATTTTTAAAACTAATGTGAGGAGGAGCCATAACAGCTTTGTTCGGAATTTCCTGCTATGTAATAGTAGCCCCTGTATCTCTATAGACTGTTACCTATCAAAGCCATTACCTTTCATAATGCAACCTCAGGGAAGATTTTATTGCTGAAAAAAAAAATATCCATTCCTACTTTTAACTAACTGTTGTAAGAAATTGTTTCGTTTCAGAACTTTGACCAGGATTACAAATTCACCACTGAAAATGGATCAAAGTAATCAGTGGTTTCAGAGGATCATGCTTACTTTTATTTGCTGATTTTTTGACTGAGTTTATAGTCTTCCTATGGCACATTTACATTTATTGAGGTGAGCTTTTTAACTGTTGAGGACACCTTTAGGATGATTATCAATTAGCCATTTGATCATCAATTTCAAAGCATTTTCCAAAGATACTAAAGCCCTTCTCACAGAAAAAGAAAGTGAAAGGGGAGTGGAGTGACTCATCTGGGCACATGGACTATATCAGATACAGAGCCAGGAATAAACTGAGCTCCTGGTACCCACACTCGTGGCCAGGGCACTAACATGCCTTTTACTAAAACTGATAGCAGGCATCCCACCATTTTACAAAGGAACATCCCTTTCTGGTGGAACATGCATTTGAAATTCAAAATATATTTGCTTGGGTTTTGGCAATACATGCTGTAATGCCTCCCTTACTCTTTTGCCTAACCCTACTCAGAGCAGGAAGAAAAATAAAAATGCATTGAGCATATTTTTCTGTATCAGTTGCTTTGGCTTGATGTTGCTGATACTGTAAACTTGGCTCCACTACAAACAGAAACGTTACAGTTGAACTCTCTGAGATTTTCATAAGTAATCACCACCAGATTTGGGTCATATCTGTAGATATACTCACTGCAACCTTTAGACTAAGTTTTGAATGTGGTTAAGTATGTTGAGGCCACGCACTGTAAAATAAAGAGACTAAAAGCAGACCATTTGCTCTGGCCTCAAGTGTGAATGCTGAGCTCTTTGAGGAATCTGAGCCACTTCATCTATCTTCTTTATTTATAACCGTCCTGCCCATTGAAGAAGAGCTGATGGTTGGGACAGAGCTACATGGGAGATGTTTGGAGAGCACAAGACAGGAGTACTGTGGGGATGGAGGTTTTGATATCCTCTAGCTCAGTGCTGCTCATTAAGGCCACCAACAGTAAACTCATGGGGTTAGCCCAGGGGCTTTAAACTGCCCTCAGGGAGAAGATAATGTAGCCAGTCTGGTAAAATGGACTATTCTAGGCTATATCAGAAAGAAAGCAGGATAGACTAGAGCAATTAATAATACTTCATAAGAGCCTTGCAAAACCAGAGTATGTTTGAAAGCAGCAATGAACTTCAGGTAAAAGATGAAAGAGGGTATGAGAGACAATCCGCGGAAGCCTAAGCCAAGTGGTTAACTACTGCTACAACAACCCAATAGTTCTGGGTTAATTTGGGATGATTAAGGAAGAAAAAAATGCTTGGGGGTTGGGCATGGGTGGGAGCTGTTGTTACAAATTAGTAAGATTGCAAATCTTGGCTGACTCGGAGCAAAGATTGTAAGTATTAGTTCATAGTTCTAGATGAGTTGGTTTGGGATGGTTGTTGGAGTTTGTTTTTTTTTAAATCCAGGCCATCTGTGTAGAGGCACTTTTTATTCAGTGAATTGCATCAGCACAACAGTTAAGGTACATACAGTGTGTGGCAGCTTTTGCTGAACTTGCCAGTTTAGAGCCCATGACTAGCACTTGTTCAGAGGGGGGTAAGGAAGTGCCAGCGCCAGGTGCCATGTGGAAACTTAAGCAGAACGAGCTTAGGAGGAGAGAAAACACAGCAGAGGTTTAGGGAAGAGAAGGAGAATGAGAACAAAGGTTTGACACAGGAGGGAGCAGCAGATGAGCTCACAGGAGGAGAAAGGGGTGCAGGGAAGAAGCTGTGATGCTAAAAATCTGTGACAGTGGAATGGGCAGAGAACATTAGAGGATGTGGAGCCATAGGGTAATAAGGAGAGTAGGTCAGTGTTACAGGGTGATCTGAATCGCATAGTCACAAAATGTGTTTTAATACAACCAGATGCAATAGAACCCACCTGGGAGAAAAGAAAGCAAGCTCCTGGGATGAGAATCTGCCTCTGAAAGCAATGATGGATATAGGGTGTGAAGTCAGCCTAGACAGCTAAATGCTCAGCACAAAAGTATAATTATCTTTTTAGCATCTGCATCTGTGTATCAATGTTTTGTTGCATGTATCCCTGTACAGATGTTTCTTTAAGTACAGTACTAATTATAAACAGAAGAACCACCACAAAATCTGCACAAGCGTCACAGACTTGTGAAACCATTGCAGACCCAAACCATGGTGCAGATGGTGAAATGGTCTTGTGTGGGAGTTAACTATTTCCACATTAACGTTATTCAATCACAGTGGCCCATTTTCACATAGCTTGCTGAACTTCAGAAGGTTTGCACAAAGGTTAAGGTTTGACATTTTGAGACGGAGTGTCTTAGTCCTCTATCCTCTAGTGAGAACTACAATAAATAATCAATTATAGAAGAGAAACACACACTCTTACTGCATCCCTTTCCAGGGTGAAAGCACTGAAAACATGCTTTTTTGACACAAATGCCTATTCTGAGGTTTTCATTACCAGGATTTCCAGTAAAATTGCCATAGGCAAGAAAGCACTTAATCTGACTGTTACATTAGGCTTCCTGAAACCTCATGTAGGTGGAATTGTGAGTGCAGGCGTAAGAAAATGTCCTTAAACTTCTGATGGACAAACAGAATTACATTTCTATCAATATGTAAGGTTGTGATGAGGCCCTACATAAAGGGTAGCATTTAGTGTTTTAGGGGTTTTTTTCATAACCAGAGTGATTTCTGTTACTTTATGCAAAGCACGCCTCTAAGAATGAAACAGATTGAGACAGGGCATAACGTCTTGTCACAGCAGCATAATTCATGACTGCATTCAGAAATCACTTCTCTCTTTAGATTTAGGTATTAGTTCAGAGATTACTTCTAGAAAGCAGTATTATCTCTTCATCACTCAGTTCTACAGATCTCTATTTATATGTTTAGCTAATTTATTACTGCTGCACATCTGTTATTTCTGCAGTACCGGATAGATACAGCACAACATTTTCAGTGTTACTTCCATCACAGAGCACTGTATCTGTAGGGGTTTGCCCTTCTTGATCAGAACCCACCCCTCTCACCCTGGTACTTGCTGTTTTGAGGCTGTGAGAGGAGGAGGAGAACCCTGGAAGCAGCCTACCTGCTCTCACTTCTGTCTCCTGGATGCAATGACCAACTTAAGGGAATTAAGCTGCGGAGTCCTTGAAAGTCTCCACCAAACATGTATGGATTGTGGGTTCACAGCTTGCAGTAGGAGTTGCAGATTGGACAGAGGTAAAACTCCAATACTAAAACAAAGATCTTTGCTACAGGCTTGATCTCAATATCCTGGAGCAATGAAAAGAGCAGCAGAGGTACCAAACTGTTACCCATCACCAACATGGCAGGATTCAAAAGTTCTCTGGTCTGTGTGCCAGTCTCAAGTCAGAAGCTGAAGCCACCTGCACACTGATTCTCTGCTATGTAGCTGAGAGTCACTGCTTTGCTCTACAAACCCAGCAATGTCATCCAGACAGCACTCACAGGCATGCAGGTACAAGCATGATGTAGAGGGAATTGGCAGGGTCATTAAGGAAAGTCCATACTCCCTTGTGTCCCCAGGTATAGGTCCCATTTCCCTGTCACACACCTTCACGTGACGAAACAAAGTGCCCATCTCAGAACAGCGGCTTGAGAGGGATGAACTCTTTCAGGTGCTTTTCCCCCCTTGGGACAAAGCAGTTCTGCAGGTACCCTGCAAACAGAAGTGTGGAGAGAGGGGAAGACTTCCCACCCAATGTACCACGAGAGGGAACTGCAGCTTCATAAAGAGGAGGGCACAGAGCCAGAGAGACATTTTCCCAAGAGTTCATTTTCAAAGATTGCTGAAACACAGTGGCTGCCTGTAAACCCAAGCAAACAGCAACATAACGGGTCAAGCACTGACATAAGAGAGTTCAACCTACTTTGGTAATCTGACAGTTACAGGCAAATGAGAACGGGGACCATAACAGCAACTCTTAGGCAACTTTTAAACACACAGTGTTTCCTATGGTCACAACATAGAGCAATCCCAGGAACAAATTCTCTTAGCACATAATGACTGATAAGCCACCCAAAAGACAAAAACCCCAGCACTAAATAATTCTGCTTTTTAAATGCAAAAAAAGATTTTTTTAAAAAAAGGTAATTTAAAATAAATACCTTCTACGAAAGAGGAGAAGACCTGTCAAACCTCTCCTGTGTGCATTCTGCTAATTGGACCAACCCACAACCCAAACCACAGAGCATTCAGGCGGGGTCTAATCCCACTGCAAGGAGGCTCCTGTCACACAGTAACCTCCCCTCTCCATTAAGGTTGGATTCTGACTAGGAATGGTTGCATCCTTCACTCTGGTTTCTGGGGATTTAATGTTTTGTTACAGCATTGGATGTGCCACTTCCAGTTTAATGCACTGAATTTCAGGCTGACCCCAATCATATGCGCAGCTACTGAGCACAAGTTCTTTCCCCAGGAAGGTTTGAGAGTAGCCCTTAGTGTCATGTTAGTCCCCTGCCTTGAGGAAGAGCAGAGTGAAAAACAGATGCTGCCATAAGCACAAACCCAAAATGTGCTGAG